CTAAGTTAGTCTTTTAAAATGTGAATAGAGCTAAGCAGGACCCCAGTTACAAGCCTGGGGATGAGATCCAAGTCACAGTTCAGTAATTCCTAAGCTCTGAGTCCCAGTGCCTGAGGATGAAAAAGATCTGTCCTTTCCTTCAGGACCCATACCACCGAAGAAATGAGATTCTTTTCATTCATGTACTTAGTGCCTATCTCTCCACTGGAGTGCAAAGCATGTGAGCAGGAAGGAATTATCCCCACCCCAGCCAATGACTGGCACAGTGCAAGCACCAGATAAATGTCTACTGAAAAAATGAAATGATGACATTTTCCACTTGGCTCCGCATAGATAACTTGACATATCTGACCTCATCCCCACTTCCCAGGGTCTGAGGGAAGGTGTGAAAGACACAACAAGTGGTTTAAAAAGCACATAGAAGAATTCACATGGCTGAAAATACCCACAGTTCTTATAAGATTTCATAGCTCTCCATGGGCTTTCCCTTCCATTTCCCCCACTTAATTTCACAACAACCCATAAGGTGAGGAGAGCAAGGATAGGGGAAGGGTCACTCCAGATCACTCCAAATCACACAACCACTGCAGGGTAGAGACAGGACTAGAATTTAAGACTCCAGAGTCCTAGGTTAGTTCAGTCTTCCCACAGAGCTGTAAATATTTTCCCTGACCCACATCGAACCTGCCAGCATCTGTGATGGACCCCATGTGGAAGTGGTGGAAGCCCCTCCTGCTTGTCTCTTTCCACAGGTCTTCAGGGGTTGCCTGGCAACCAGCACCCAGCAGTAAGTGGCCTCTAGCTGGGTCTGTTGCTGTGAAGTTACTAAGTTTCCTTCCCCTCACACTTAAGCATGCTCTCGCTCCCTATTAATGAGACTTTTCCCCTAGCCCCACCTCTCCAGCAAGATTTTCTTTTCTGATTCACAATAATTAACCTCTCAGGAAACCAACGAGGTTCACAGAGGCCTATGTGGTAAGGATCCCAGGGAACAAGGCACTCCCAATGCCTTCATCATTCAATATCCCCTAAAGATGCAGAAACTTCTATTGTGGGTGGTCCTTCTCACTGATGCTCATAACCTCCCCTTCTCCCCTCTTCATCTTCCACACTAATAACAGATTTCCAAAATCCCCTGGGAGAGCTCAAAAGGGCTGGAAGCACTGAATGGATACTTCATACATGGCTAGTGAGTACTAGGTGTTGTTCCAGCACTTCTGGAATCACAGATGAAAAACCTTGGGAGAGGACCCCGTCACCTTTTACATGTAGGCCAGGAGATAGAGAAAGAAGGAATCTAAAATTTCTTGCATTCCTGATATGTGCCAGACACAATACTATGGCTCCACATTAGTCCCTCTCAGCAAGCCTGGGAGAATTTTACAGTCAGAGATATGTATTCATAGAAGCCAAGTGATTTATCAGAGCTTACAGTTTGAAAAAAAAATCACATAACTTTTGTGTAAAAAGTTTAGATTCTATCACAGGTATTGGAGAGCCATTGAAGRGTTTTAACAAAATCAGTTTTGCATTAAAAAAAACAAAAAACACTCTGGCTTCAGATGAAGAAGAGATGAAATTGAGGCACACACACACAACAACAGCAACAAATTGTGGTTTGGATCCAAACTAATCAAATTGTATACGTTAAGTATGTATCAGTTTCTCCCTTTACAACTAGTTGATTATCAAATTTGGTAAATTCTGCTCCTAAATCTCTAATCTGTACTTGTTTCCATCCCTTATGTCACTTTGTCACTGTCTTAGTGTTATTGACTAAATGTTTGTATCCTTCCAAAATTCAGGTGTTGGAGCCTTAACTCCCAGTGTGGCTATATTTGGAAACAAGGGCTATAAGAAAGTTATAAAGGTTAAATGAGGTTATAAGGGTGAGACCCTGATCCAATAGGATTAGTGTCATTGCAAGGAGAGACACTGAGGAGATCATACACTCTCTCCCCTAGGTCCACATGTGGAGGAAAAGTCATGTGACACATAGTGAAAAAGTGACTGTCTGCAATCCTGCTGGCACCTTGATCTTGGACTTCTTGTCTCCAGAGTGTAAGGAAACAATTTCTGCAGTTTAAGCCAATCAGTCTGTGGCATTTTGTTATGGCAGCCCAAGCGGACTGATGTACTTTAGTTCAGGCCCATATAATGTATACAAACCACTGGTGCATCTCTCTCTCTCTCGCTCTCTCTCTCTCTCTCTGTCAATATTGAATTAAATTAGTTGGTTAATTTTTAAGAAATTTTATGAGATATAATATAATTTACATATTAAAAACTAGACATATTTAACATATACAATTTGATTAGTTTGGATCCAAACTACAATTTGTTGTTGTTTCATCTGAAGCCAGAGATTTTTTTTTTAAATGCAAAACTGATTTTGCTAAAACCCTTCAATGGCTCCTCAATCAATACCTGTGATAGAGTTCCCAAAAGTTATAAGTAAGACAAATACAGATATAGTGTACATAATATATGATTATTAGTTACATAAATATCCACTTTTGTACACAAAATATGTTTAAAAATATAAAAATGAAATTAATAATACGAATATTCAAAGGTTTAAATTTCAATGTATTTATGAACAGCACAAAAAAAAACAAATTTTGCCCTGTAAAAGCACATACACACATATAAAAACCCTCTGATAATTTTTTAAGCAAAGCAGTGTTTTTTAAGCAAAGCAACTAAGTCAGATCTAATTAGATCTTTATTGATTTTACCTCAAAATGTAAACTGAAAATGAACTTGTGCTGGAATCACAGAATATCACTTCAGCTATTTTCTTGTGCTCACTTGGGTTTTACTATACTTGGTACTGTCTTCAGAGATTTCCTTACAGGACTCTTTAAAGGCCACATAACTAGATTTCATTTAGTTGAAACTAAATAGTATTATCAATAAATCCACTTAACCAGGTACAGGAAAACTGCCAAGCTCACAATAGGCTAAAAATGAAAAAACAGAGCAAGGAAGTCACTGCTGCCAACCCCTTAAAAGGGCTGAATGCCTCCTACAACAAGCTCTTTCCAGAGTAGGATATATTTGATACAGGGATCAAACAAAGATGTCTGTGCCAATCCACAAAGTAAATGTTAATAAAACATTAATTTATTTTGTATTTATAGATTAAAAAATAAGCTCTAATAATTTCTTCAGATCCCCAAGAAGTCTTCAGGCTTGTACCCTCTAGCTAATGGCAAGAATCTTCTATGCATTATACAAGATTTCCCTGACCTCCAATCGACTGCCTATGTCCTCTCCAGCAAATTTCTCTCTCAACATCCCTTCCCTGCTCTTTCTCAGCCTTGATTCAGTTTCACTCTATTGCTCACCATACCCTACATACTCAGTGCCCTTACCCCTCTCTGTGATTGGCTGCAAAGATGACATCAGATAATACAAGTGATTGCACTAGGCACTAAGAGGTGCTTTTAATACATGCTTGTTTACTCTCACCACAGTTAAACTAGATCAGTGTTTCACAATTTTAGCCTGCCTTAAAACCACCTGGAAGACTTCTTATACCACAGATTGTTGGGTTCCACTCCCAGCGTTTCAGATTCAGTGGATCTGAGATGGGGTCTAAGAATTTGCATTTCAAAAAAATCCCCAACTGTTGCTCATATAGATGGTCTAGAAACCACACTTTGATAATCAATCAACTAGACAACCTGTATAGCTTCTCTCATTTCTAATGATTTATGATTCCTCAGTGCCTTTAAATGAACAAAATGGACACTTATCTCTATAAGTTAACATTTAACATTATCATAAATTGAAATATGGCCTCTATAAGACCTCAGATGTGCAGTGTAGAGAAAAGAACATATAATTTATAATCAGAAGATCTGAGTTCAAATCAGAAATTTGTGGGAGAGGACATAGGCAGCTGATTGGAGGTCAGGGAAATCTTGAATAATGCACAGAAGTGTCTTGTCATTAGCTAGAGAGTACAAAAGTTGTGCTCCATTTGTGTGGCTGACTCAAGGAAAGTTACTGTCTGTTTTTTTCTGTAAAATAGGGTATATAAAAAGAGTATCTGCCTCATAATGTTAATTGTGAGATTATGACAATCTGTAAAAATATTATATATAGACTGTCCAAATAAATGTACAATGCACTATATATATATATATATATATATGCTAAGCAAAATAGATAATAAACAATATGTTTTGAATATGTCCACAAATTTTCAAAATTTCCAAACCTAGTGCAAATTCATTGATGAGTATACGATCCTTGTGGTATTACATCATTTAAAATATATACATGAGGAAGTGGGGGGGGGTAGAATGAGATGGACATTATACCCCTGATGTGTGGGTATGATATGATTGCACAAATGGTATGACTCTACATCATATACAACCAGAGAAATGAAAAGTTGTGCTCCATATGTGTAAGAATTTTAAATAAATAAATAAATACACACACACACATGTTTTACCAGGTGCAGGAGCACACACCTGTAATCCCAGTAATTCACAAAGCTGAGGCAGGAGGATCACAAGTTCAAGGCCAGCCTCAGCAAGGTCCTAAGCTACTCAGTAAGACCCTATCTCAAAATAAAAAGTAAAAAGGGCTGGGGATGCAGCTAAATGGTAAAGTGCCTTGGATTCAATTTCCCATACAAAATATAGAGAGAGAGTAAGTATTATATAATTTAAAATATATACATGAGGGGGAGTTGTATATATGTAATAGTGTGTGTGTGTATAAAATAAAGTTGTATATATAACATATATAATAAAGCATGTACACATGTATATAAATGAACATTGTGTACATATATAAACTTTATTAGTACCACTGGTAAACAACAACAATAGTGGTTGTGTGACCAGTTTCCAATATGGTCCCAAATGATCTTCCTCTCCCAGTATTCAAACCTTTGTGTAACTTCCTCCCACACTGAATCTATGACCAAGAGAATACTTGGCTACATGAGAGACATTTCCCTTTCCTCTTTGGTTTCTTAGATTGCTCACTCTAGGGAAAGCCAGTTACCATGCAATGAAGAGGATTAAGCAGCTCTGTGAAGATACTAAGAGGGCCAAATGGGAAGGAAGTAAGCTTCCTGCCAACAGTCTGCACCAGACATGTGAGTAAGCCACCTTGGAAGTGGATCCTCCAGACCCAGTCAGTCTTCCAGATGACTGAAACCCAAGCCAGCATATGGCTACACTTCACAAGAAACCCCAAGCCACTCCCAAATATTAGACCCACAGAAACTAAGAGATAATAAATTATTATTGTTTATTTATACCACCAAGTTTTAAAATAATTTGTTAAGCATCAATAGATAACTGATACAGTAACTAACACTGATTGTGTATTTGCTGTATTCCAGGTACTACACTAAGCATCTAACAACCCTATATGTAGATGTTCTTATAATTTCCAAAGAAGAAAGGATGACCCAGAGAGGTTAAATAATTTAGTCAAGTTTCTGTGGCTACTCAGTAGTAGAAATAGAATCTGACTGAACCCAAGTTTCTAACTCCAAAGCCTAGTTTCTTAGTCACTTGTTTACATAGTCAAGATAAAGTCTCTTAAACATCTAAGCATCAGACACAAATGAACCCTCAGAGGAGAGCAAACTTACATAAAACCAGCATGGGGAAGCCCAGGGGTCAGACCTAAAACCACATTAACATTTGATGTTGGTATCTAAAGATTCCAAGCTGGTTCCACCTCCCAGCCTGTAGACTAGCAGATTAGTAATATCTCAGGTCAATACTGCTGAAGATGCCCATGACTCACCCAAATCTGCAGCTTCACTCGCTTCTCATGACGGTAGACTGTCTTCACCTTGAAGTCGATGCCCACAGTGCTAACAAAGGCCGGGGTAAAAGTGTCATCAGCATAGCGGAAAAGGAAGGAGGTCTTGCCAACACTGCTGTTGCCGATGATGAGCAGTTTGAACATATAGTCAAAATTCTGGTCAGAGGCATCTTTGACTCCAGTTTTACCATCGGTCACTGAAGCCATCTGCAAGAGAGACAGACCTATGGTCACTTGAGAACACACCTCTAGTGTGACTTTCAGTCACCAACCTTCTAATGGCCAACTATCATTTACACACTCTCTACCCCAGCTTAACAGAGGAAATACACAGAATCACCCCATCGTTGCACCTGCTACAAATGTTGTCTCAGGACTAGGGTGGAACCCAACTCCTCCCCTTCAATCCCATTCAGCAAATATTTACTGAATATGTTGATCTGAGGCAAGCCCTTGCTGGGTTTAGGGAGTACAAATATGAATCAGACATGGTGGCGGATCTCTGGGTGGCTAGACACTAGAATAAAAGAACAGGGAAACCTTGACTGAGAAAGTCCACAAGAAGCCTAACCCAACGGGAAGACATGGTGGTCAAGGAGAGTCTCCTGTAGGAGGCAGGGCTCAGTATAGGGTTATCATTCCCTGTTTCAAAAGCTTTTATGGCTCCCCACATCTCTAAATATCAAGTCCAAACCATTCAGATTAATGAAGAACCAACTAACCAAAGAATCAACTTTCTAAGCTTTTGTTCCCCAATTCTTCTCCCCATCAACCTGTGCTACCTTAATATTAAATTAAACTTTACTCCAAATACTCCACAGTATGCCTTCGTCCCTTTGTATATGGATTCCTTCTGCCTAGAATGATTTTTTCCCCCTAATAAACTCCTATATTCATCCTTGTAGGTCCAGGTAGAGTGTCACCTTCCCTGTGCATAGCAGAGATATGACTCTGCTCCTGTGTTCTCACAACACTCTAATGGTATTTTTGTCGTTTTGGAACTGTTTACTCTTCTGGCCCCTCTTTTAGACTGAACATCTGGGATTTAATATACTCCATTTCTGCATGCCTGGCTTCTAGCACAAATCCTCACACATAACAGCACTCAGTAAAAATGTGTGCTGAATTAATGAAAGTCACTTCATCACTTTGGGGCCCCAATATCCTCATATAGGAAATGGGGAGAACAATTTCTGCCCTTGCATTTCTCAAGAGGCTATTTTAGGGCTTGAATGAGATAACAATGATTATGACCTTCATAAACTGATAAATTCCACAGTTGTGTGAATTTAAGTCCTTATAATCCAATCTTTCTAAGCCTTGATCTTTTATTTGTTCATTCACTCATTCATTCATTCAGCAAATATTAGTATGTGCTAGGCCTACTACCATTCTCTCCTTTTCTTAGAACACTTTGAATCTGAACTCCATGATCCAGCATAACAGAAGAGGAAGGAGGTCTTGCCAACACTGCTTCTGCCAATGATGAGCAGCTTGAACATATAGTCAAAATTCTGGTCAGAGGCATCTTTGACTCCAGTTTTATCACTGCTCACTGAAGCCATCTGCAAGAGAGACCTATGGTCAGTTGGCTACTTTGAGTCACCAACCTTCCAATGGTCCTATTACCTGATGTGAGTCCTTTAGTTGCTTCTTCTACAGCTTCAAAACATCAAGTGCCCTACTTCTCCACCTTAAGTCTCTCCTCTTGCTTAACACTAGGTACAAATGGGCTGGGTAAGTAATCAGGGAATGGTACAAGGGTACCTCTAATGTGAGAAAGTGTTCAGGTTATCATTGTCTTTGGTAGTTCCTGATTTTTTAATACCTTTATTGATTGATTGATTGATTTTATGTAGTGCTGAGGATCAAACCCAGTGCCTCACATGTGCTAGGCAAGTGCTCTACCACTGAGCTACAACTCCCACCCCAAARAAAGAAAGGGAGTGAGATTGTTGAGTTTGGCTCTATGTAACTCTCAGATAAACTATAAACACAAGAAGCTGATGAACATAGAAGGTTGTTTTTGTTTTTTGCAGTACTAAGGATTAAACCCCAGGAATAGTCAGGTCCTCTACCCCTGAGCTACATCCTCAGATCTTTTTATTTTTATTTTGAGATAAGGTCTTGCTAAGTTGCCCAGCCTGGCTTTGAATGCAGGAATTCTCCTGCCTCAGCTTCCCAAGTCACTGGGATTACACTACCACACCATACTCAAATGTAAATTTAAAGCACTCTTTAAGAACAATGAGACACATATATAGAATTAATAATAATTATTCAAAAAAACTTAATATATCACCATTAGTCTTCAGTGCCCTCTGTTCTTCCTGCCTTTATATAAGACCCTCAGCTTCATCCCTGTATTATCAGTCCCATGACAAGGCTCAAGAGGTATAAAACATGTCCAGGATACTTGGAGGCTTAGGCATAATAACATTTTTTTTAATTTTTATTCTAATTTGTTATATATGATAGCAGAACGTATTACAATTCATATTACACATATAGAGCACAATTTTTCATATCTCTGGTTGTATACAAAGTATACTCACACCATTCATGTCTTCATACAGGTACTTTGGATAATGATGTCCATCTTATTCCACCATCATTTCTAACCCCATGCCCCCTCCCTTCCCCTCCACCCCTTTGCCCTATTCATAGTTCCTCTAATCCTTCCATGCTTCCCCCTCCCAACTATGAATCAGCCTCCTTTTATCAGAAAAAACATTCAACATTTGGTTTTTTGGTTTTCACTTAGCATTATCTTCTCCAACTCCATCCATTTACTTGCAAATGTCATGATTTTATTCTCTTTTATTGCTGAGTAATATTCCATTGTGTATATATGCCACATTTTCTTTATCCATTCATCTACTGAAGTGCATCTAGGTGGGTTCCACAATTTACCTATTGTGAAATGTGCTGCTATAAACATTGACGTGGCTGTGTCCCTGTAGTAGGATAACAGCATTCCCCCCCCCCACCCCCAGTGCTAGAGATTGAAGCCAGGGGTGCTCTACCACCTCTTTTAATTTTTTTTTTTTTTTTTTTTTTTTTTTGGTGGAGACAAGGTCTCACTAAATTGCCCAGGCTGCCCTTGACATCACCATCCTGTCTCACAGGCATGCACCACCACATTCAGCTAGACATAATATCATTTACATGAAGGAAGAAAGTGAGGTTGGAAAGGAGAGTGCAATTGGCTGTTTAAATTGTTTCACAGACTTCACTTTTCAGTTTGTCATAATATAAGATATAAAGCCTATTTCAAGAATTGATGATTCAAGCCTGTGAGGGGGCACACACCTGTAATCCCAGTGGCTCAGGAGGCTGAGGCAAGAGGATCTCAAGTTCAAAGTCAGCCTCAGCAAAAGCAAGACACTAACCAACTCAGTGAGACCCTGTCTCTAAATAAAATACAAAATAGGGCTGAGGATGTGGCTCAGTGCCACAGTGCCCCTGAGTTCAATCCCTGGTATGCCCCCAAAACAAAACAAAACAAAAAAAAAGAACTGGTGATTCAAAAGAATTGTTTTTTCTACCTAACAGAAGGGAAGCCACCACAATGACATGATACCATCTTTCACTCTGCTCCATTCGTCTTTGTCTTTGTTTACAAAAGAAAATTTCTGCTATGAAAGTACATATTCATTATAAAAAATTTGAAATTTATGCAAATGTATAAAAGATAAAAATTTAAATTATCTAATATCTCACTTACCCAAAAATGACTACTATTAAAATTTTAGGGGCTGGGGATGTGGCTCAAGCGGTAACGCGCTCGCCTGGCATGCTCGGGGCGCTGGGTTCGATCCTCAGCGCCACATAAAAATAAAATAAAGATGTTGTGTCCACCGAAAACTGAAAAATAAATTTAAAAAATTCTCTCTCTCTCTTTCTTCTCTCTCTCTTAAAAAAAATAGTATATTTCTTCCAATATATATTCATTCAAAAAAAATGCTTGTACCAACATACATGCCTATTTTTAAAATTATATCTTCTTAAATTTTTTTAATTGTAGATGGATACAATATCTTTATTTATTTATTTTGTGTGGTGCTGAGGATTGAACCCTGTGCCTCACACGTGCTAAATAAGCATTCTACCACTGAGCTACAGCCCCAGCCAAGAACTATATCTTATTCATTAATTTAAAAGGCAATGCACACTCATTGAAGGTAATTCATCAACTTTCCATTATTTACTAGTATTACTTTTCATCATCTGTAATTTGCATTATTTTCTTACTTTTTAACATAAAAAAATAAGTAATATGGAACCTAAAATCTTATACTGAAAAGTAAGTGTTGCTTCCATCCTGGTTCCCAACTTCTAGTTCCCCTCCCCAGAGGCACACGTTACCAATTTATATATCCTTCAGAGACATTTTTTGCATATACAAGCATAGAAAAATATACTTTTTATTTATATGTAAATGATAGCATACCATACATTCTAGTCTATAATTTCTATGCATATTTTAATAGCTGAGATCATCTGCACAGAAAGTTTAGACCAAAATGTATGGTATGCTATCATTTGGCAAAAGTATTTAAATTTTAAAAGTATTTAATAATTTAGTCATGTATGACTAAAAAARAAATAAAATCGTATGGTTAAAAAAAAGGATTTAATAATTTAAAAAGTACTAAGACTTTAAAAATTCTTCATAAAATCATTTCCTATGACCAGTTCTTTAATGTTGTCATTCTCTTTAAGAAGAGAGTTGTTTTTCAGTTTAAGTTGTTTCTATTCTTAATTATTATATATTAAATTGAAGTGAACATTTCTCTCTTTTTTTAATTATTTAAGTTGTAGATGGACCCAATACCTTTCTTTAACTTTATTTTTATGTGGTGCTGAGGATCGAACCCAGTGCCTCACATGCTAGGCAAGTACTGTACTACTGAGCTACAGCCCCAACCCTGAAGTGAACACTTCTTTGCATAAACCTTTGTTCACTTTCCTAATTATTTCCTCAAAAAGTGGTCAAAGGGCAACTTCACTAAAACACAGCTTTGATTTTCATTTTAATTTCATGTCCTTTATCTTATTTTATCCTCTAAACCTGGGAAATAAAGTTGAAAGGACAAGGATTATTCCCATTTGAATTAAGATGATTCACCCAAGTCTCATAGCTAATGACTGAGACTAGACTTTGGTACCCTGCAGTGTTATGGGAAAGTTTTAAATTTCTGCTCTACTCATCAGTTGAATTCTTAAGCAAGTCATATTGACTCTCTAAGTCAGAGCATTATTACCTTAAAATAGGAAATTGCCACCTACTTCATGGAGCAATGGTACAAATAGAGTAAGCACTACTATATGTAAACAATCTGAGAGTTTATTGGCCTATAGGAGGTACTCTAAAATTATTACTTCACTAGCCCCTTTTATTCACATTTGCTGTCAAATTTTGTTCAACTGCCTCTCTAACATCTGGGCTTCATTATCTGGGTGCTGTTTTACAACAAACTAACTGCTTCTCTTTCTGGATTGAAAGGAGTTTATCTATCATGGGGACACCAACACTGGACCTATATCTTTAGAAGATGATACTTCTTTCAATAAACATTAATTATTTTTCATGTGCCAGATTACCAATATAAATGTTTTCATTTTATCTGATGAAGCCAGTTTTACACTCTTAAACTGCTAGAATTAGAAAGATATTGAAGTGACAGGTCTATCATAACAAAAACCCTGGCTATTTGTGCCAGCTTTCATAGTAACTCAGTGTATGAAATTGGGCAGGTCATTAAAACTCTAAGACTCAGTGTTCTCATCTGATAATAATAATAACTACTTCACAAGGCTGCTGTGAATTTTAAATAAGAGAATGAATGTAACTGCTTCATACACCATGCTGAGAAAATACATGTGGCCTTGTGTAGAAACAGAGGGAAAATTTTCTACATTTATTAGCCTTGCAGATGTGGAGAGTGGAGAGTCAAAGATAGTTTCAATTCCTGTTCCGATCCTATCCCCAGCATCATTTTGTAGGTAAATAAAATTGAGGCTCCACAAAGAGAAGCAATTTGTCTAAGGTCACACAGTTCATGATCAGAACTTCTGTTAGCTGGTGTCTTCCAGATTTGACTGGGCTTAAGGAAGATAAAAGCCAGAACAATTTTAGGGCGAGTAGAGAAGTGTCCCCAACACCATAAGTACTTGCCACACTCTGCCATCAACATCTGCTTATGTGCACACAGCACAGCTTTCCCAGTAGGTGGTGTGAGAACAGAAGCCCCCAAGGGGGATCTTCTCAGGAGGGGGGCAAGGGGGACACAGACATCTGGAAGAGAAGCAAAAAACATCCCAGCAGGCAGCCGCCTGAGGCAGATCTGAGCAGACAGGTCACTGCACAGTAGTGCATGCAGAACTGCATTTGTAAGATAAGATCGATCAAACCTTCCCTCTCTTTTGTGACAGTCACATAAAATGATAAAGCTGGGTGGCTCGCTGTCTCCATGAGCAATACAAATAAAGGCCTAGGAATCATCTGGGAAGTATGTTATCCCTGATCCCAGGCTGGGGGAGGGAAAGAAATTGCTTCTCAAAAAAGATGTGAAAAAACAAATGTCCCTTTCAGTCTCATAGGCAGCAGAAATAAACACCTAAGAATCAACTTCAGCCAGGAAAAAGGCGGGGGAGATATCCCCCTAAAATCCATCAAGAAGGTATCAACTCAATAAATATAGCAAAGAAGGGAATTCTTTTTTGATTGAGCCAAAAGCTTGGACAGGGAGATTGAGTCCAAGAGACCTGGGTTAAGTCCTGGAACTCTCAGTAGTTGTGTAAATTTAGGCAAATCACGTCCCGAGCCTCAGTTTCCTCATCTAAAAAATAAGTTAATAAAATGGCTTCCTGGCAAAACTCTTGTAAGAATTAAAACTAGTACATAAGAGAGATCTTTATAAATCACTTTGAAATTTTTGGATTTTTTTCTCTGTGCTTCATGTTTTCTCATAGCAACTCATCTAAGTACTGAAAATAGTTTGGGGTTCCAAAGCAAACAAAGTCGATATAATTTCCTGCTTTGTCATTTATTAACGGTGAGATCTGGGCAAGAAATTTTACATGACTAAGAAACAGTTTCCTCCTTTGTAAAATAAGCATTTGGGGGAAGAATACAGGTAATATAGGGATTTAGCACAGTACATGGAATATAGCAGGTGCTCAAAAAATGTAATTCCTTATCTTCCTTCAGAGAACATTTATCAGTGGGGCTAAGGGGTTAGGCAAACGTGGACCTCCCTCTACTATATATATGCCCATTCTCCCAAAAGGCATATTCTTTTAAAATTAAATCTTCTTTAATTCATTTTCCACTGCCAACCCATCATCACCAGCCTAGCCCAGCCTACCTCCTCATTGTTATCCCAGGTCTTATATAGCCAATAGAAACACCATCATAATTGCTGCCATATATTGAGCTCCTACTAACCGCCAAGTATTCTACTAGTTACTTTCAATGCATTTTATCTGCACAACAACAGATGCTTGATAAATGTTCATTTCCTTCCTTCTCCAGGTTGGAAAAAGATAATATTACTCAGCAATAAAAGAGAATACAATTTTGGCATTTACAAGTAAATGGATGGAGATGGAAAATATCATGCTAAGCAAAGTAAGCCAATGGGAAAAAAACAAAGGCTGAATGTTCTCTCTGTTAAGTAGAGGCTGATCCATAATGGGAGATGGCATGGGGAGAATGGAGAAACTTTGGGCAAAGGGGAGGGAGTGGAAGGGATGAAATATGGGGACAGGAAAGATGGTGAAAAGTGAGAGATATTATTACCCTAGGTACCTATATGAGTGCACATATGRTGCAATGCTACATTTATACAATCAGATAAAAGAAAAGTTGTGCTGCAATTGTGTACAATGAATCAAAATGCATTCTGCTGTCATATATACCTAATTAAAATAAATTTTTAAAAACTTTAAAAAAAGATAGCCATGTGAGTAACTGCTGACAGAATGGAGGCACACCTGCATAAGAACATCAGTGTGTGGGTGGGAGATGTGGCTCAAGCGGTAACGTGTCGCCTGGCATGCGTGTGGCCCGTTCGATTCTCAGCACCACATACAAACAAAGATATTGTGTCCCATGAAAACTAAAAAATAAATATTAAAAATTTTCTCTCTCTCTCTCTCTAAAAAAAAAGACATATTTAAAAAAAGAACATCAGTGTACATCACATTTATAAGTACTTTACAGTTTACAAAGCTCTTTTCACCCATTATATCCTATTGGTTTCTCATAATCCTTGGGGTAGATGAAGAAATTGAGGCAGAAACCACCTCAGCTCAATTCTTCATTCAGTCAACATTCACCAAGTACCTAGCCCTGTGCATACTCTGGGAAAATGTCCTAATGAGCTCCAAACTTTTTTTTTTTGTACTTATAGATGGACAGAGTGCCTTTATTTTATTTGTTTATTTTTATGTGGTGTTGAGGATTGAACCCAGTGCCTCAGCATGCTAGGCAAGCACTCTGCGTGCTGAGCTACAGCCCCAGTCCCCATGAGCTCCAAACTTATGTATTCTGTTACTGATAGCTTCTTCTTCTTCTTTTTTTTTTTAATTACAGTCTTTAAAGAAACTGGAAATTTATTTCTTGGATTGGAGGTCATTTTAGATTTTGCCTTTTCCTATACTGTATCCTCTAGTAGGAATGCACTTTATTCCACTGCTAGCTAAAAACCCTCACGAGGAGGTTCCCTGACCCACCTGCCTTCCCAAAAGGCCTCACCTCTGACTACCACCATTCTAGCCCTTCCCATTACCACAGAGAGGGCCTTTCATAACTTCCATTGTCTTCCTCTGTTTATAGCATAGAATAGATGTGTGCTGTACCTAAGCGCGTACACTCATATCCAATCATTTTATTGTCCTCCATCCCTGCATATCTGTATTCTGGGAAGCTGGGATGGAAACCCACACACACCCACATATAGACCTCTCTTAGTTTCCAGAGGTTGCCACACTGTCCACCCCAAAGTCCCTTCCACGCTTAGACTCCAGAACAGAGGAAGCCTATGGATGAATTTTTTCTGTCCATGATTTGCTTCTTGTTAGTGATCCCAGGTGGCAATGTAATCTGGTCCAGTGCTAGTCCCCCCCCCCCACAACCCCTCTCAGTCTTCTGAGAATCCTAGCACCTAGGCTTCACTGTTCACATTATTTCCCCCAACACACCACAACCCACACCTGGTCTCCTCCCCAACCTGACCCAGTGCCCCCACCACCCCAAATTCTCCAAGTTCGCTCACCTTTCTTCCACCTGCAGCCTCCAGACCCTGCTCTATTCCAGCGTCTCCCCGCCCCCACTCCTGACTAGAACCCAGGCGCCCCCTGCCCACTCCCTCCACCAGCTTCCACGCCCTTGCTCTGCAGTCCGGGTAGACCCAGCTGGCCTCCCACCTTTTCATTCTTCCAAGCTAGCAGCTTCCAAGCCCCACCCCTCGCCCTGCATTCACCGCGACCCCTTCTCGGGTACCAACTGGGTTCCAGCTTTGCGCTCCCTCCTTTAGTAGCTATTCATACTCACACCTCCTGTCCGCTGACCCTCTCTCGGACCCTCGCCTGCTCAGCGCCCCTTCCTCTCAGCACCTCACTCCTCATCCGTTCCCCTCCCCTCCCCTCTTCGCCTCCACGCCTCCTCCTGCCCTAGCTCCTGGGCTCCCGGGCTCCCTCTTTCCGCACTAACCCTCACCGCTCTACCCCGAGCCGCCAACGCCCCCCTCCCCAGTTTCCCCAGCAATCCCGCTGCCCTTCAGTTGCAGCTCATCTTTTCCCCCAGCCGAGGCACGCTTTCTTGCCCCTTGCCCTTGGAGCTCCCCCGGAGGCCCCTACCTTTCAGGGAAAGCCCCTCAACGCCCCCTGCCAAGGCCAGTGTCTCCTCCTTGTCTCGGCGCCCCTCTCTAACGGCCTCCCCCAGCCCTTCTTCTCGGTATCCCCTCGGCTGCCCAGCGCTAGCTCTCAGCACTCGCTCACTTTTCCTCGCCGGCTGGATGCTGGGGCCGCGCCCCTTACCTCGGACTCCGAGGTGGACGAGGTACTGGCTCACGGACTGCGCAGCCGGACTGTCCCACGTGGCGGCAGGAGGGTTGCTGCGGGATCTGGGGAGCCTGGCGGGGTGGAGCCGGGTGGAGCGAGACGGACGGATCTGGTCCCCACCTCAGCGACTGAGGACTGAGGCTCACTCACGCTCCAGCTGGGTTCAGCTCCCGCTGAGTCCAGTCCCCGCCCAGGGGTGGAGTCCGTGTTCGGCCCGCCCCTAGCTCCTGGCAGGTGTGGGGAATCCAAGGTATCTTGGGGGCCCACAGCTCCCCCATATTCGGGTGGCTATTGTGATTTACCTTAATTCTCACATCTTGCTCCACAGATAATCTACTGGCTGACCAGAGAGCTTTAATGATAAAGTAGATGATGAGCTTTCCTTTTTTCAAATAACTTTCTTGCGGGTAACATCGCCCCTTCCTCACAAAAGCCGAGAGGAGAGAGAGAGAGAGAGAGAGAGAGAGGAG